TGGCACCAGAATTTTTTTTTCGGTGGAAAACTTGGGTCAGAATCCTGCTCGTGGCAGAATTCTCTATTTTCATGTCAGATATTTAAACGTGCAGAGCTTGAGCTTCTGATATCGAAATTCATCGATTCAAAAGTCAAAATTCATCTATGCATGTAGGATTACAACTTTGATAGAATCAGGCCATAATCTGGTTGGTCAAAAAGGGGTCTCCTGATCTAAATTCAGGAAACTGACAATGCCAAGCATCCTCGACTGAGAGTCTGCCATAAGAACAATGACAAATGTCGAGCATCCTGATATGACTGGGAGTACCCTAAGAATGAACTAGAAAAATCATGATGGCAATAGAATTTTTTTTCGGTTCAAAACTTGGGTCAGAATCCTGCTCACGGCAGAATTCTCTATTTTTCATGTCAGATATTTAAACGTGCAGAGCTTGAGCTTCTGATATCGAAATCCATCGATTTGAAAGTCAAAATTCATCTATGCATGTAGGATTACAACTTTGATAGGGATTTAGGGCGAGATATAATCATTTTATAGGACAGAATCGGGCCGCAATCTCGTCGATCAAAAAGGATCTCCTGATCTAATTCAAAAAAATGACAAATGTCGAGCATCCCGATATGACTGGGAGTACCCTAAGAATGACCCAGAAAAATCATGATGGCAGTAGAATTTTTTTCGGTGCAAAACTTGGGTTAGAATCCTGCCTGCGGCAGGATTCTCTATTTTCACGTCAGATATTTAAACGTGCAGAGCTTGAGCTTCTGATATCGAAATCCATCGATTCAAAAGTCAAAATTCATCTATGCATGTAGGATTACAACTTTGACAGAATCAGGCCATAATCTGGTTGGTCAAAAAGGGGTCTCCTGATCTAAATTCAGGAAATTGACAATGCCAAGCATCCTCGACTGAGAGCCTGCCATAAGAACAATGAGCCCTAGGACCCAATCAAGGTGTAGGTCCATTATTCAACATGTCATGAGTGATAGAATATAGTTGGGATGGTCAGATATTGCACGAACCCAAGTCAGAATCAGGGTCTAAGTTGGAACAAAAAAAAAAAAAAATTTGCGGCGGCAGTAGAACTAGGTTTTTTCTAGTGCCACTTTCAAGGAATTTATTTCAACCTTACAGCCCATGTAAAAGAGGAATGAATTTATCATTATAAAGAATCCTAATTAGCCTAAGAATTCTGACAATTTTGGTAGCAGTGGGGAAGGATAAAGAGAGCAGGAGATGGCTAAAAAAATAAGTAACAACAGATGCCCCCTCTTTACGAAACTTGCGAAGCTAAAACTTGAGTAGCAAGTTTTGTAAAGATAAATTAATAAAACTATCAAAACTCGATGCCTTCTTAAATATGGTCTCATTATTAGGTGACCTATCTGTTTCTCTATTCAAAAGAATTTTAAAAGTGGTCTAAATGCCGGGTGACCTGCCCGTTTAGAAAACTCCACGCTTTGTCTTTTTTTTTTTTTAAAGAATGGTTTCAATGTCGGGTGACCTGCTCATTGTAAGATTCTTTAGAAAAAACTCCACTCTCTTTTTTTAAAAAAAGTGGTCTCAATATCGGGCGACCTGCCCGTTGTCAGATTTTTAGAAAAACTCCACGCTTTTCTAAAAAGTGGTCTCAATATCGGGCGACCTGCCCATTGCCAGATTTCTTTAGAAAAACTCCACGCTTTTTCTAAAAGGGTGGTCTCAATGTTGGGTGACCTGCCCGTCGTAAGATTTTTAGAAAAACTCCACGCTTTTTCTAAAAGATGGTCTCAATGTTGGGTGACCTGCCCATCTTAAAATTTCTTAGAAAACTCCATGCTTTTCTAAGAAACCGTCTAAATATTAGGTGACCAGCCTATCTTAAAATTCTTAGAAAACTCCACGCTTTTCTAAGAAACGGTTTCAATATCGGGTGACCGGTCCCTCTTCAAAAAAATTTTTTTAGAAAACTCCACGCTTTTTTTTTTTTGATGAATGGTTTCAATATCGGGTGACCTCAAGGAATGAAGCAGCGCTGGTTGACAATTCCTATCCTTTTTTGTAGTTTTGTAGACCTGAGATTTTGGACATCAATGAAATTTATTTCTTTATTTTTTCTTTTTCAAAAACTTGGAACTATTTTGTTCTTCATCACATCTTCTCTTGCCAAGTTAGTGTTATGACAGTATAGCATGCATGTTTTTTTTTTACTTATTTTGGAAACATAGGTCCCCCCTTCTGTTGTAGACTTATTGGGCTCTTATTTCCACTTGTTTGTCCAACTCGACCTCTTGAAACAAAATATGCTCCACGCGTTATACTTCCTATCCTCTTGGTGAAGAGATCTTTGGTTCCTTATGGGGCCCTTTGTTGATCCATTGAATATTGTCTTTTATTATTATTTTAAAAGGAAAACTCAAAAGATTTGGTTTTGTTCATGAAAAACTGAAACTTTCAATGCAATTGGCAATTCTCATAAAAGATTTTCTTTTTAGAAGTTTTTTATGATGATCCCCCTTTTAGGGCTTTGGTTCACCCCTATGTGCACTTCGTACACTTCTTGCCCCTAGTGTGGTGTGCAAAAATAAATAAATAAATAAATGTCAAGTTTAGATTTGATTTGATTCTCTCCAATTGATGGAGTCATCTCCTTAGTCATGTGTAAGAAAGAAAAAAAACATTGTTTGAGTAAAAGATTTCAGATGTTATGAGATCATGCGTTTTATGAAGAAAGGTGCTTTACAGAGAAAATTCATGGCCAAACTTTATTTTATTAATTGGCAGATTACGGAATACATCAAGCGTAATATTTCCTTATAGAATCAGAATTCACTGGCCTAACTAGATCTTCTCCATCCATTCTAGATAACAACAAAGCTCCTCCTGAGAATGCTTTCTTCACCACATAAGGACCCTCATAGTTCGGCGCCCATTTAGTTCGATCTTCTCCTGGTAAAGGCACTATTTTCTTCAATACAAGATCTCCTTCATGGAATCCTCGAAGTCGAACCTTTTTGTTGTAAGATTTGGCCATCCTTCTTTGGTAGAGTTGATGATGATAAATTGCGGCTATCCTTTTTTCACTGATCAGATTCAGCTGTTCATATCTAACTTTTGCCCATTCCACCTCTTCCAGCTCAGAGTCCACCAGTACTCTCAATGAGGGGATTTCCACTTCTAAAGGCATCACCGCCTCCATTCCATATACCAACATGTACGGGGTGGCTCCTGTTGAGGTTCGAACTGCGGTGCGATATGCGTGAAGGGCAAATGGCAACATCTCATGCCAATCCTTATAGGTGACTACCATCTTCTGAATAATCTTTTTGATATTCTTGTTAGCAGCTTCTACCGCACCATTCATCTTTGGTCTATACGGCGAAGAGTTGGAATGCTTGATTTTCCATTTAGCGTAGAGTTCTATTATCATCTTGCCATTGAAATTCTGGGCATTATCAGTTATAATCTTTTCTGGTGGACCATATCGACAAATCAAATCTCTCTCAATAAATTTCTTCACTACCTTTTGCGTTACATGAGCAAATGACCCGGCTTCTACCCATTTTGTAAAGTAGTCAATAGCCACAAGAATAAACCTATGACCATTGCTGGCTTTTGGGTTTACAGGTCCAATCACATCAATCCCCCACATCGCGAAGGGCCATGGAGATGTCAAGTTAAACAGAGGAGCTGGAGGGGCGTTGATTTTGTCACTATATACTTGGCACTTATGACATTTTCGGACATAGTCGATGCAATCCTTCTCTAATGTCATCCAGAAGTAACCGGCTCTTTGTATTTTCCTGGCCATCACGTGTCCATTAGCATGGGTTGAGCAAATCCCTTCATGGACTTCTCGTAACGCGCTTTTTGCCTCAAATTCATCCAAACATCTCAATAAAGTCCCGTCGAATGATTTCTTATACAAGATCTCCCCATCAAGATAAAAATTTATTGCCAACCTCCTCAAGGTCTTCTTGTCGATTTTGGATGCCCCCATGGGATATGCCTGGTTTCGGATGAAATTTTTGATATCATAATACCAAGGGTTTCCATCCACTTCTCTTTCAACTGAGCAACAATGAGCTGGGTTATTTCTAATATTGATGTGTACTGGTTGTACCTTGTGCCCAAAATCTATTTTGGCCATAGATGCTAGTGTAGCTAAAGCATCTGCAAACTGGTTTCCTTCCCTTCCTAGATGGGTGAACTCTATTTCCTCAAATTCTTCAGCCAGTTTAGACAGGTATTCTTGGTAAGGCCTTAACTTCTCTTCCTTAGTTTGCCATTCTCCTTTTACTTGGCAAATGATCAGCATTGAGTCTCCATACACATCTATCTTTCTAATGTTTAACTCCAATGCAGCTTCTAAACCAAGAATGCAAGCTTCATACTCAGCTGTGTTGTTGGTGCACCCGAACTGCAGCTTAACTGAAACCGGATACTGCTTCTTATCAGGAGAGATTATCACTGCACCTGCCCCATTGCCACATACATTTACAGCACCATCAAAGTACATAATCCACCAATCTGATTTCTCTTCCTCGATTGCAAGCACATCTTCATCGGGAAAGTCAAAGTCTAATGACTCATAATCTTCCATAGCATGGTCAGCCAAGTGATCGGCAATAATACTCCCCTTTACGGCTTTCCTTGTCATATATACTATGTCATACTCAGCCAATAGAACTTGCCATCTTGCAATTCGGCTCGATAAATAGGGCTTTTCACAAATATACCTCTGTTATTACTCAATTTTGGACCCCATATGCTAGAGATGGTGTATCCCGTTTTGAACCGAGTGTAGGAGTGTATCTCATGTTTGCTTGAAAATTGACAAAAAAAAAAGGGGTTCTGCTGTTGTCGTAATTTTTTTTATGCCAACTTAGGCTCTGATTCTGACTTAGTTTCGTACGATATCTGACCATCCTAGCTATATTCTGTCACTCATGAAATGTTCAAAAATTGACCTATATCTTTATTAGGCCCTAGGGATCATTGTTTTTAGGGCAGATTCTCAGTCATATCGGGATGCTCGGCATTTGTCAGTTTTTGAATCAGATCAGGAGACCTTTTTGACCGACGAGATTGCGGCACAATTCTGTCCTATAAAATGATTATATCTCGCCCTAAATCCGTATCAAAGTTGTAATCCTATACACATAGATGAATTTTGATTTTTTTGAATCACTCAATTTTGATATCAGAAGCTCAAGCTCTGCATGTTTGAATATCCAACGTGAAGGCAGGAAATTTTTGCCGCGAGAAGGATATTGCCCAAGTTCGCGGGACTGATTTGAAGCCTTTTTTTTTTGGACCAAGGACCAAATAGAAAAGGTGCTAAAGTAAGGACCAAATAGAAAAGGTGCTAAAGTAAGGAAGCTGATTGAAGATAAAATTAGTAGGAAGATATTGGAGAACCACGTTTGTTTCTCAACAACAGCTATCCCAGGAGTAGCTGGCCAACTAGCCTGATGTTCCCAGCTATGGAAGGAAAGAAATCACTGGAAATCATCAGAATATGCTGGTTTCCTATCTTTGCTCCCCGAGATTACACCCTAGGGTTAATATAAGATTTTGTTTCCTAAGTGGAGCTGCATATAGGCTATATGTAAGCATCCTCCGCTGACCAAAAAAGGGAGGAGGGGGAGAAAATTGACTAGGGGGAACGAAAGAAGAAAAACCTTGTCTGCAGCTGCCTCCCTCTTGAAAAAGAAAACAGAGGAGGGTAGAAACCCTGTTTTAGGATTTTGAACCATCGGTTTCTTCTCCCTATAGCCGGACCCGTCATCTCCAACCATCCCAGCCTCCCTCAGCAGCCCTGTTTGTTACTCAAACCAGCAACCCATGTACACCCACACCATCTTCCCCAAACCATGACCACCATCTCCCCCATAAGCACCAGCCCTCACTCTTCTTTCTTATCGTGAACATGCCAGCCATAGCAGCTGTAACTATCTCTTCTTAGTAGAGACAAGGCGGACGCGAGTGAGAGGAAGGATGAAGAAAAAATACAGAGGGAGAAACAGGGGAAGCACGGGAAAGCAAACCAGAGAAACAAACAGATGAAGAAGAGCACAACAGGGACGAGCAGAAGGAAAGAACATAAACAGAAGAAAACACTGAGGGACCAACCATCACACCTTTGCCATCATCTTCGTCCTTTCGTTTCCGTCCCTAGTTTTCTTCCCCTCCAGCGGTGCAACGTTTTTTTTTTATATATATAACAGCCGAAGCAGCAACTCACAAGAAAACAGAGAAGGAGCAAGAAAGTACAGAGGGAAGAACATCCATTTCGCCAGCACATCACTGCAGCATCATCATCTTCGCCCGTTTCAGCGCCAGAGGAGAGAAGGCAGAAGCTTTGCCCTTCGGCTGGTACGTCATCTTTGGTATTCAAGACAAGCAGGATTTGCAGGAGACCGACGCAAGCAGAGAACAAAAAGGAAAAGCGCTGGGACAGACGAACATGGACAGACCAGCCAGCACGCCTTCAACATCGCTGCAGCTCTTTCGTTTTTCTCCAGGTATGTTATTCATTTCTGCATGCATTTCTTGGTTGCATTTGTTACTGTTCAAGTGAAATTTAATTCACTTGAACAGTAACTCACCAGCTTTCATTAAGCTGGATGTGTCCAGCCGGGTCACTTGCTTGGGCAAGTGACCGGCCGGACC